TTTTTGTGTTCTTCTGCGCCGATTCTTGCAGAACTTAGCTCCGACCGCGTGGAAGTTTCCACGAGCTTGTCATTTATATCGCCACTGTATTGAAGTCTTCTAGGCACTGAATGCATTGCAGTCTTCTAAGCACTAAATGCATTGCAGTCTCCTAGGCACTGAAAACGGTTTCGTAACTAGAACTTAAAAGTTTCGGGACTTTGAATTAGAGCTCGCGGGGGACGGAGCGTTAACTTCATTAGACGAGACCTCTCCAACATAACGTGTCCAGTGTGCCTGTAACCAATCTTAGATCGCTGCCGGTTTTCACCCTTGCGATCACTGAGACATCACTGAATGAATGCATGGCTCTAGAAATATCCTCATACATATCCTCCATCCACCTCCTCATCGGGATGTACCGAGGTTGGTGCGTAAACCTGTATGGCCTTCAGCGAATACCGTTTGGTGATTTGTTGACACACTCCCAATCTTTACAACGTTGTTAACGAGAGCCTTGTGGACGATAAATTCAACACCTTGGGACAGATGGTTGCCCTCTCGGTGATAGAACAAGTTACCGGATTCGAGAATTGCCGTCTATAATAAAGTAAAAGTAAAGTAAAGTTACAGCCTATATACGTCCCACTGCTGGGCTCAGGCCTCCCCCTCATTTCTGAGAGGGTTTAGGGCAAGGAAGTGTCCGCCGCGCTGCCCAAATGCGTGTTGACGAACTTCACATGTCTTCGAAATATTTTTTTTTCTTATTCCTCAGAGATGCAGGTTTCCTCACGATGTTTTCCTTCACCGCCGAGCACGTGGTAAATCAGCACTTAAAATTGCAATTAACAATTTCATTGGTGCCGGCGGGGATCGAACCCGGGTTACTCGCGTTCTGTTATATTTACAGCGAGCGTTAACCACTGAGCTACCACCGTCTATAATATTCCAGCGCAATTTATCTATCTCTTCTTCCCGCTCCAGGATCTTCTCTTCAGTCCTCAGGTAGCGTCAATTCTATGTTGCCAGGTCGAGTTGTCTTAGGTGGCTACCGAACCTCCACCGGGGATTCTTAGCACACCCTGCCCTGCCGTTACCATGGTTGCCGTAGCCAGGAATAGTGGGGCCGCCGGGACTGAGGGCCTTTTGTTTGTGTCGTTGCTCGTTGGGGGATATTTCACATAGTTGCCACGCTTGGCGGGCGGGTTGGTAACCGCAGTTTTTTTGTACAATTGCTGTTATCAGGAAGATAAGATGCTGCTGCCCATCTCCTACCTGTTTCCCTCTGTCGCCTCTTACGATACCCACGGGAAGATATGGGGTAGTGGATATTCTTAACCGCCACTACACGGCAGTAAAGTAATAACTTTATTCAAATATGATAGTACATTAGACCCCGCCAATTTCAGATCTATTTCTGTACTGCCAACACTTAGTAAAATTTTTGAAAAAATTATTTATGAAGAACGATCAGAACTAGTTTACTTTAGCTATTTCCATAGCGTAATGTCGTAAGATACTTTGCTTTGGGAACACGCGACTGACACTAAAATTACATTTGTTTTAACAGAAGGGATTTCATCTATGATTTAAAATCTAAAAAGTCGCTCGGACAAAAATTGTAAGAAATTAATATATTAACTTTGGCCTCTCAATACGTACATAAAAATAAAAGTAGCGTTACAAAAATAAGTGATATTCACAGAATTAATGAAATACTAGGAACAGACACAAGCTAGTAGTACCAGTTACTCGACTCCACCGAAGAGTAATTCATTCTTGGGTAGCGTAAAAGCGTATGCATCGCATATGCTTTTTTTAACGAACTCCCAGAAAATATTCAAAATTTGACCTGCACAAAGTTCAAGAACTTCATTAAACTAAGTTTTTATGAAAAGGATTATTATAATATTAAGGAATTTGTGGATGATAATAACCCCTGGGAAAAGTGACCGCTTTTCTAATTTATTGTGTTGTTGATTATAACATACATGATTGTAAGCTGTTATTTTTTTTAAAGTCCCTCTGGGTTTCTTGCTAGTTCTTCCCAGGACCGAGGTTATCTTCCGAACCAGTGGTAAATAAAAAAGTAACTCTCAATAAGTATTATTTATAATCTATATTTTAAAAAAAGTTTGTTTCTGTTTCAATCGGCGATACTTCTTTCTTCACCAATGGTTGCCGTTTGTACGAACTTTATATATATATATATATATATATATATATATATATATATATATATATATATATATATGATAGCGCGACTGCTTACTGATTCAGTAGGCTGTGTTGGTTAGTCCCATTTAACAATTTTATATTGCAGACAAACCATGAGGTTAGTAGCACTTACCATAGCTCGGTGAGCGACTTTAAAGGGAGATACCAATCCTTTTCAACCGACTTTAAAAAAGAGGAGGTTCTCAATTCGACTGTATTTTTTAATGATTGTTGCCTCAAAACTTTTTTAATTGAAAGCCTGTGGTGGCTCCCATATGATCCCATATAAATTTAATCAAGATTAATAGAATAAATAGAATAGTAGCTTTTGGGTTATCCTTAGTAATGCGTATTTAATTGACTTCGACTAATTATGATGCTCTCATTTTACTTATATTGAAGTCGGTTGAACAAATTAATTTTACTACTTGTGTATAACTAACATTAAAGGTAATCATCACACAGGAAAAATGAAACAACAAATTACATACAAGTATTTAATGTATAATTATGATTGTACCTATAAATATTTCAAAATGTAAAACAGTGATAAAATTCATAATAACCAATACAACTGTACCCAACTCAACTAGGATAGCGAAATTATATTTCAGTTACACGATTAACAAATTTCGAAAATGATTATAACATTGCAAGAAAAGCAACCTATACCGATTGCTTCCAACTCATTTAAACATATAAATCGATTTATAACATCTTAATAATCGTAATATACAGGTACCATATTAATTCTCTTGGTGTATTTTACAATGCATTAATCGTTATAAAATACTGATGTTCTTGTGAATAGCACTGTGAAAAAGTGTTGCAACATTTTGATTTACAATTCTTATAAATCGGAAATTTATGGTAAAAGTTGGCCCCGATAATTTAAAGGGATCCTCAACAACTGGAATACAAAAGTGATTGTGTGTGTTGCGAAGTCCTGAATTTAATGGAGATATGATCTAAGGCAGTCTTAGAGGGATTGTATATTCAAAAATAAATGTTACAAGCCCTCAATAGGTTAGTTGGAATGCAGTTTTATATCAATATTGAATAAAAATCACTTGATTTAATAAATAGCAAACTTACTCAATTTCTACACAAGGAAATAATATAAAGGTAGCCCTCGTATAAACACATTGAGCATTATCCTATAATTATCAATAAACATGCTACATTTAGTTATGTATGTAATACTCAGTAATAATATGTGGCCAGATGACTATACAGAATTTGGCAACGTCCATGAACACATACAATCTGTATTCTTATAAAACACGTTAGTATAAATTGTACGATTTATCTTTTCAATTTCTCTTTGATTTTATTCGTGCTTGATTATTGTGACGTTGTGTTTTCAAAATGCATCTTAAAACTTTATAATCGTCAAAAACACGGCCTGTTTTTACAACTTTCTCTAATTCCGATCGTTACTATTACGAATAATTGTTAAATATTCAAATGTATACTACAAATCAATCACATTCTACAGCTATCAAACACTCGCACAATGTACTAAATTTAAATGTATATACAAATTATCACTAAATATCTTAAACTATTGGAAACTACATAATATATAAAGTCGATACAAAAAATCAGTACCTAAATATGCGTATGGCCACTGACGTTATTTGTTCAAGAATAATTATTTGGAGGTATACAACTGAAACTAATTGCCACGTCGCGTCGCGGCGTAAACTTCGAATTGATGAACCTTTGCCCGTTGGTATATCTACCGGCCGTTTATTAGCTAAGTCTAGTATGCTAAAATGTATGTGGCACCACAGAACAGCGAGTACAATGTACTTGAAATAGAAATGAAGTATTTGTCTTTTTACTCCTTACATATAGATATTATTCCGTCATCTAATACATTATCATTTCCAATTCAATAACAATAAATAATTCTATATTTAAACGAAAATATAATTGTTAAATTGATTTGATTTAAAAATGAAATCTCTAAAGTTAATTAAGACGTAGACGGAATCAACTCACAGCAATTATTGTAAATTTTGAAAAATGGAGCATCACACAACCGCAGCATTAAAATAATAAAGTAAACTTTGGCTAAAAAAATACGGTAATCTTCAAAAAGTATTTTCTTTGTAATATAACGAAATTTGATTACCACACTAGGGTTGCCATCTATTTATATAAAATATACAGTATTTCGAGGCTATTACTAGTAATAAATTACTGTTATAAATGACAACAGTGTATTTTGGTGCTTTGAGCCATTATTAATAGCCTCACACCAAGTCAGCCTACATTAAAGTATAGTAGTTTCGCCTGCTATATTTTTATGGAATTGTAGTTCGGACCCCTAAAATAGTAGGGTTGATAACGCTATAACATACGTGGTTTAGTAACGAAATTTCCATCAACATAACATACATTGTTGTGATACACTGTTTAACACAAAGAATTATTGATATATTTATTAACAGATTTAAATATATTGACATAAGTTAAAAACATCCGTTCAATTAGCAATAAATAAAGTTTAGCAACAATACAACCCCACTAATAATTGCTGTAATGCAAAGAAAACATCACTTTTGGCTTAAACTTGCATTTAAACATGGTAGCTAGTTTTGTTGGCGTATCGTCAGAAATATTTTTCTAATCATTCGGCAGCAAACTTATGTTACAAAAGCATAGTGAAACTTAAACATAAGACGCATTAGCGCATTAATTTGTGTTCTTGGCCCGAAGGCCCGCAATTATATGGGGAAAGGTTTAAAAGTTGTGTATCTAAACGGCGGCTGTGGTGAGGTCGTCGAGATGGTAGCTTAACTTGGGTGTTGAGCGGAGACTTTCCGCAGACGGTAGCCTCCTGTACCGCGCACAGTATAGAGCACCAAGACAGCGACAGCCACCACCGACATCCCAATGGCATTGATCACTATGGCTTCTCGTGACATCGACTCGTATGTATCGCTCCTGCACACCGCATGCCCCACATTAGTATATTAATATTTTATACACATAATACTTCAATAATGGCATTTTATACACTATAATAGTAATTCAATCACCGATACGTTAGTAAAGGTAGATTAATTATATGTCACGGAAAATATATAGATAGATAACAGACTAAATGAAATATGATACAAATCACTAATAGTAATTCGTTAATAGGTGAAATGTTTTTTGGGTACCATTAAGCTAAGAGATATTCATGTTACAGAAATCTAAATAAAATCTTGACTAAACTACACTAACTACAATTTATCTTTACAATCTACGAGTTTTCAGAAATAGTTCTGTATGTTATGAGTGAATGGTCTCCTAATTTAAAAAAAAGGAAAGCCTTTTCACACTAATATTAAAGTATAATCACTGCGGCCAGTCTCAACGGAAGCTAGACGTCTGCGCAGGTTAGAATTATAGTGTAGGTAAGAGTGTGTGAACAAACAGTTATGTACTCTCTATTCCCTCACTAGTTCTTCCCTGGACAGAGCTTTTCGCCACAGATCCCAAGTTCAAATCCTTAACAGAGTTCATATTTGTACAAAAGCACAAGTTATTTTCGGCTCTGAAATTACGATTCACCCTCATCCCGCTCAGATTGACAGTCCATCCCCCCCAGACTGCATCCTAGAATTACCTCCAATCTATGACCTAGCCATTGCAAAAGCGAATAGGTTAAGATGAGTGCTTCTTGTTTGTACATACACTTATGACATTACAAAAATAGGTATCGCCTGCGTAATAACTAATAGCTTCCGGTCAGTTCGATGTTCAAAAAATCGCGTGATCAAATTCATCGGAATGTGTACATTGTTCTTAAGAATAGTTTTTAGCGTGCAGTGCAGTTTAAAATTTAGAAATAACTAATAAATAAGCACTAAATATTAAGTTAACAACTATTCACTTTATTAAGAACATAAAAAAGTTATACTAGTCAATAGTTAACCGCCACACACATGCAAGCTTACAAAGCATTTTTTTACAAAAAGCAACAAAAGAGTCATCCTTCAAAAGAGTCATTGCCAAGGCAAAGTCAGAGCACATAGGCAGAATTGGCGAGAGACTAGTTCGTCTTCCTTCTGGAACCCGTGCATTCTGGTCTCTCGCCAAGGCTGTCCAGGGGAATTTCTGTCAGCCATCTCTTCCATCTCTGCACAGGGAGGACGACTCACTGGCCCACACCGCAAAGGAGAAAGCCGATCTTCTAGGCTCTTTCTTTGCGTCTAACTCGACTCTCGATGACGGGGGGAGTACGCCGCCGACCATCCCGCGGTGTGAGTGCTCCATGCCGGAAGTGCAGTTCACTCAGCGCTCGGTTCGCAAAGCACTCCTCTCCCTGGACATCTATAAGTCGAGTGGGCCTGATGGAATCCCCCCAATTGTGCTGAGGACGTGTGCTCCAGAGTTGGCACCGGTTTTAACGCGTCTTTTCCGGTACTCCTACTCCCTAGGCGTAGTCCCAAAATCATGGAAGACGGCTTTCGTCCACCCGATCCCTAAAAAAGGCGACCGCTCAGACCCGTCCAACTACCGGCCTATCGCCATCACCTCCTTGTTCTCCAAAACAATGGAGTCCATTGTAAACTGCCAGCTCATGAGGTACTTTGAGGATCACCAGCTGATTAGTGACCGCCAATACGGTTTTCGCCGTGGTAGGTCAGCTGGTGATCTTCTGGTCTACCTAACTCACAGATGGGCGGAGGCAGTAGAGTCCAAGGGGGAGGCATTGGCCGTTAGTTTGGACATTGCGAAGGCCTTCGATCGGGTTTGGCACAAAGCGCTTCTTTCGAAGCTCCCTTCCTATGGGCTTCCCGAGAAATTGTGCGATTGGATCACCAGTTTTCTTGCAGATCGGAGCATCAAGGTCGTTGTAGACGGTGCAAGCTCCGATTGCAAGCTTATTAATGCTGGTGTTCCACAGGGCTGCGTGCTATCGCCAACGCTGTTTCTTCTGCATATCAATGATATGTTGCAAACCCGTAGCATTCATTGCTATGCAGATGACAGCACTGGTGATGCTCTTTACACCGGCCGAGCCAATATTTCTCGGGAAAACGTCTCTGAGTGCCGGGACAAACTTGTGTCTGAAGTCGAGTCTCTGCTGGACAGAGTCTCGGATTGGGGGGCGACTAAATCTAGTCCAGTTTAACCCCCAGAAGACACAAGTTTGCGCGTTAACCGCTAAAAAGAACCCCTTTGTCGTATCCCCTCAGTTTCAAGGCACTCCCCTTGTTGCCTCAGCCAGTATCGGAATCCTCGGCGTCGACATATCGAGTGACGTGCAGTTTCGTGGTCACTTGGAAGGGAAGGCCAAATTGGCCTCTAAAAAGCTTGGCGTGCTCAGCAGAGCGGGACAGTATTTCATGCCGGCACACCGCCTGCAACTTTACAAGGCGCAGGTTCGGCCGCTCATGGAATACTGTTCCCATCTCTGGGCTGGGGCTCCCCAGTACCAGCTCCTTCCACTTGACCGCATCCAGCGCAGAGCGGCTCGAATCGTCGACGACCGAGTGCTTTCCGATCGGCTCGACTCACTGGCGCTGCGAAGAGATGTTGCATCTCTTTGCGTTTTTTATCGCATCTATCACGGGGAGTGCTCTGAGGAATTGTTCGGATTAATCCCAGCCGCCAAATTTCGTGAACGCACTACACGGCAAACGTCCCGATACCATCCACACCATCTGGATGCTTGGCGGTCCACCACTGTACGTTTCAAAAGGAGTTTTCTTCCGCGTACAACCTCTCTGTGGAATAATTTACCACCGGTGATTTTTCCGGACCGATACGACCTGGGGACCTTCAAGAAAAGAGCTTACTCCTTTCTAAAGGGCCGGCAACGCACCTGCAATTCCCCTGGTGTTGCGGTTGATCATGGGCGGCGGTAGTCACTTAACATCAGGTGAGCCACATGCTCGTTTGCCCCCCTCTTCTATAAAAAAAAAAAAAAAAAAAAAAAAACAAACTATGCAGGTAAATTACGCATGCATTGCCGCATTAACGTACATACATAAGTAAAAGTCGTATCAACTTATAATTATTTCATTAATATGCAATAACACCTACCATAGGTATAATTTTTAATGGAAAATGAAACACCTCAAGTAATGTTAAAATCTCCTCAAATAATCTTGTAATTTTAATTCTATTAATTAATTATTGGAACGCCATTTGATCTGATACAGACCAAACACTACATTTCAATGAGCCTCCTTAGTTATTTTTATATTACATACTTCAAAAAAATACAATTTGTATATTAAATAACAAATCAAATTGCAAGGTGTAAGTGTAAACACCGTTGTTACTAAAACCATAGACTTTAATATAAAAATATTTATCCGAATTTTACAAAAAAACGCTATTTTCTTTCATAAAATTTAAAAAGTTTCTGTCCGACACCGTCCGTAAATTCATGGATACCCTATGCGCCCGAGTGACGTAATCACTGTAAAGATCACCGCCCGCCCTAGCTACCTACACAATATTCCAATAAAAACACAATAGGTACACATAACCTGTGATGTAACTTTTCCTTCATACTTTCAACCTGGCTTAGGACAGGCAAAAATTGAGGAATTAAGGAAAAATTGAGATTTACTAAAAAAATGTTTTTATTTTTCATTGAATTTACGTTCTATAAGTGAAACCAAACCACTGGTTTCAAGAATAACGGTGTTTACACGAACGCCCTGTATAATGATAAAATGATAAACACTAAATCGTATGAAAAATGCCTCAATAATCATTTATTGATCTTTTTTTAATTTTTACGTTTTGCCAAACCGTAGGTAAAAATTTTTCGTTTCCTTATTTAATAATGAAAATAAGAAGAATGTTTGCTTTTTGTACGCAAACATTTTAATGTTAAAATAAAGAAACTTTTTAATTAAAAAGTATAATACACAACTACATCTAGGTAGCCAATAATCTAACAGCTATGTAAACATTTTTACTGTTTAAAAATAGTAACATGGTCTTTGTTCCTTGTAAATATTAGTACTCGTCGCTTTAATTATCTATGTGAATTTGTTTTGATTCCCAAGCTTGAGTGACGTGACACTTATTACGCCTCGTAGTTTTTTAATCTATAGATCTACTGAAACTCGTATGTGGTCTTCGCGAGACGATGCTACGCGAAATTTGTCCCTCGATAGAATGTACATGATGACAGCGAGGATTGCAATTGACGCCACTCCAATTGCATTGATGATGACACCTTCGTCGGGCAGCCCACTGTATCTCTCCGCACTGTAGATACGCACACATACAAGCATCTCACACAATACACGTAGCATGTAAGCGAATACCACGAATATATTATAAAGGTAGCGATGACAAACAAACAAACAACAAACGATATTAATCAAGCAATTGAAAATTTTAAATGAAAGAAGTAACTTTCATTTAAAAATATCTGGAAATAATACAATACACTAATGGGCACAGACCCCCTCTCAATTCGAGGGGTTGTGGAGCAGGGAAGTATCCGCCGAGCTGCCCCAACGCGTGTTGGCGAACTTAACATCATGTTCACGATTATGTTTTAATTTCTTTAGCAACAGGTTCTATCACAATGCTTTGCTTCATCAACGAGCACGTAATAAATCAGTACTTAAAATTTCATTTAATTGTTTCATAGATGCAAGATATTTATGGCGAGCCTTTATCTTCTAGACAACCACGGCTTATGTATGATGAATTTAGAATTACTTTCTAGCTCGAAAATCAATATACTATTTGAAGCAAAATAATAATTTTGCTATTTTTCTTTTAGTAGAAAGTTACGAAGACATGCATACCAACATTCATCATTCAGAAGAATGCAAGACTAAAATAAATTCAAACCATTTAATTAAATAAGTAGTTTAAGATTCAAAGAATTTATCGATATAGTTCCTTTAAATACGTACCCAAGGGCACCGATTGCCTTTTCAGTGAGTCCAGTTAGGCAGGCCGCCACTCCGAGTACGAAAGTCAAAATACCAAAAGCTGCGTGAACTGGCACGAGAGAAGCGCGGAAGCCAGCAGTGCCTTTATTGCAGATCAACAGCAAAAGGAAACTGAAGAAGCCGACTGCATACTGAGAAAAGAATCACTAACGTGTTAGATTTTTATAAATTATTTCACTATGCAACATAAGCATGTGATACTTTGTCTTATATTAATAGGTTACCAACTTTACGTGATAGAGCCGTGCTACAAATATATTGTCATGGCACGAATGGGTCGGTAAGTGGAGAGAAACGGCGACCCTTTTTACTGGAAACGAGATCTTCCATCTTAGTTCTGAAAGAATTCTTAACCGAGGATAGATGTAGATGTCTATGGGCGACAATATCCACTTACCACTACGTGGACTGTGTACCCGTTTATCATCATTACTTTAAAAAAAATATGTGAGAAAAGGTACTGTGATGTGTGTTGACGGTGTAAAAGAATATATTACTCCATTTTGAAAGATGCAAAACTTCTGGGTACTGCGATTTAGAATACGTTTATCTATCATTATGATTAAGGGAAATCTCCTCGTCAAAGAAGGCACCCCATGTCCAGTGGTAAACTGATTACGGGGTGATAAAATAAGTGAAGTATCTATATGAACATATTACGCAAAGCAATAAAGCAAACATATTATTATTAATAAAATACGCCCCATAAGGGTAATATCCGAAGAAGCACAACAGTATTTCAGACCAGAACGCAGCAGTGTACGTACTGCTGGTGGGCGGCAAAAATAGGCAAGAAAGTGATAAAGAAGTCTTATCTTACAAAGGAGGGCGAGTCACTGCTGCTGGGCAAAGGACACATTACCTAGGCTGCACTAAAAGTATCGGGAATGGAATATTTCCACTGTTACTGTCATATTAAAATATTTTTAATTGAAAGCTCCTTGGTTTTAAAAATCGAATACCATTTATTTATTTTAAAAAAAAAGATTCTCGGTCTTGTCACAAGGTTTTGTCAAACTTGTTTAGTCGTTGAGAAAATGGAATTGACTCGAGAAAATTCAAGAGCGATGATTTATTATGACATTCGAAGTGGTTTAACACAAAAACAGTGTATTGACCGGATGATTTCTGCATTTGGTGATGAAGCCTCATCCAAAACCACAATTTATCGCTGGTTTGCTGAATTTTAACGTGGACGTGTCAAGCTCAGTGATGATCCCCGTCAAGGTCGTCCAAAAACTGCAGTCACCCAAGAAAAAATTGTTAAAGCCAACAAAAATTGTTCGTTCACGGAGTGTTGCAAAAAAAATGGTGGCCACGTTTGTCTCCAAAAACGGTCATGTTACGACTATTCGTCTTGAGGGACAAAGAACGGTTAATGCAGAATGGTATGCTAGCATTTGTTTGCCACAGGTCGTTTCTGAACTCCGTAAAGAGAATGCAACCGCCGCATCATCCTCCATCACGACAATGCAACTCGCATTTACAAAATTCAACTCACACCGCACACAGAACAAAAAGTTTTTAGAGCAAGAAAACATAGAATTATTAGATCATCCGCCGTACAGCCCCGACCTAAGCCCTAATGTAAACTAATTTCCCTATACTTTCCCTAAAATAGAGAATAAATTGCGTGGACAGAGATTTTCATCACCTGAAGAAGCTGTGGATGCCTACAAAACGGCCATTTTGGAGACCCCAACTTCCGAATGGAATGGTTGCTTCAATGATTGGTTCCATCGTATGGAAAAATGTGTCAAATTTCGCGGAGAATACTTCGAAAAGCAATAAATACATTTTTAAATAGTAATGTTGTGTCACTTCCTTGATTCCCGAAACTTTCAGTGCCGCCCTCGTATTTTGTTTTACATTATTTCTCCGGCAAGTACTTTCTGGCGGTACTCGATAATAATTTCTTACTCTCGAGTTCACGCACACTAAAACAATGCATTAACATAAGTAAATGCATTGTTTTCAACGTGGTATAGTGCGATGAGTTGATAGAGCCATGCTGCAGTTATATTAGTAGTATAGTTGTAGCACGAATGGGTCGGCTCGACCGGGGAAGGACCACGCTCTCACAGAATACCAGCGTGAAATAGTAGCTTCATGCTGCTGTGTTTCGTATGGTGAGTGTAGAGAACCGGAGACCCTTTTTACTGGAAACGAGGCATTCCATCTTACTCCTCACGGGTGACAACGCATCTGCATTTTGATTTGTAATCGAGGATAGATGTAGATGCCTATGGGCCGCAGCAACCACTTACCATCAGGTGGACTGTGTGCTCGTTTGTCACCTTATCCAAAAAAAAAAGTAAAACCAACCTGCCAACCCACTATAATTGTGAGGTAAAATATTATACCAACCCGTACGGGCTTCTAGCCAGAATACAAATCCTACCGCCCAATAAAAATTACTAATAATTAAATCAAATTTTTTTAACGTAGTTTATTATCCTGCAGATTTTTTAAATAATTTTTGATACAATCTACGCGGATGTCTTTACTGTAGATTGTACCAAAAATCACTAATTATAAGTCGCAGTTTGCTGCAAAGCACTTATAAAGTCGAGCATACAAAAATTTCTAATTTGTTAAAATAGTTTCAATTAACGTAGTGTACCCGTAAAAACATAAAATATCATTATTACCAGGTGGTTATGATCCAGCTGTAACATAGTTTCTTGCTGGTTCTTCTCTGGAGAGGTCTCACATTTACCTTCTAATAAAGCTAAGTGAGTAAAATATTTTTGACTTTGACTTTAACCTTCATATTTCTATGTATGAGGTATTCTTATAAACTTTATTACCTGAATTCCAAACAGTCCCATAGCCACCAAGCCAATCCAGCTGTGAAGCGAGTAGAAGTTATTGATTCCCTTCTTGTTATGGTAATCCAGCACTGCCAAGAAACCGATGACGATGCACGGGAACGCCAACGCGTGGAAGATAGCGTGCAGCAACTTCACGTAGATGCGTCTGAAGCACCGGCAAATGCGGTACAGAAGAACCGCTGCGAATGTGTGAAAATATTATTAAACACATTTTCTTTAGTCCTATATACAATAGTATATCGTTTACACCTACAGAATATACATAATTTAATTTATAGTACTTATAGTGAAAGAGTACAAGAAAAATTATAAGCAACACTTGTCTATCAAAAATGTGTTTAATTAGGGTTATTAAACTACTAAAGAGTACATTACATGATTGATAACAACCTCTGGAAATGAGGTGATCGCTAGTCGCTACCATGCCGTTTCTTAATGTTATTATACTTTTTTGTTTAAAATATTTTAACCGACCCAGTGGTAAAGTTAAAAATGACTTTCTACAAGTATTATACTAATCTATGTTGAATAAAAATGACTCTATTCTATTCTTTTAAATTAAAAAAAATAAACCATAATAGCTCTGAAGCGGTTATGACCGGTTCCGATAAATTTTAAACACTATGGTGAAATAAAACTATTATTTATGGATTTTACCGCGTTTAATTCAACTTTAATTTATTTTTATTATCCCGACGTTTCGGGTGCTTTACAGCACCCGTGATCACGGGGAACTGAGATGTTTGACGTCCCAATGTCATATTTAGTCCGGCTACCTTCAGTTTTTGAATATTAATTTTTGGTCTGATGATACGCAAAATGAGCTTATAGTATCATGAAGTCTTGCAGTGGTATGCTTGAGTTTGGGTTTAAGTCTCTAACTCATCGCGTTAAAATCGATCGCAAAATTTAACACGGAAGAAAACGAGTTAAGAAAATCGTGGTAAAACAAGTCATCCCAGAGTAAGAGGTTTATCTGTGATAGGCCTTTTTGTTAGAAGGCATGAACGGAAGAAGTACAATCATTTATCAGTTGTCACATTAACCCATGCTTACAACTTCAATCATAGAAGGTCTCTCTTGATTTGAAGATAAAATCATTTTGATTCAAAAATCGCTGTATTTCCCCATATATTCGGCTGGGATTAAAATTATAGCTATAATACCGATCTGCTAACAAACAACACGTGAACTACACTCACAATTTTCAACATAATTTAGTCAAACGACTGTGTCGTTTAAAGATTGTATACCTGGACATTTTATGGGGCCATGGGGGCATTTTTATATATATTTTTTTATTTATATATATTTCCATCTTGTATACGCCAGGCGTAAAATACACAGACTAACGACGAGTGGCAGTCAATAATAATGTCCTCCAGACCGGAGTTCAGTGCAACACCACCGACCTCCTGGCTCAGGGCTGTTACTGAGGATTTCTTGACAGAAAAACCCAATAACTAATTTTGACCTGGCCTAGGATTCGAACTCGGGACCTTATGATCAGCAAACGTGTTTTCGACCACTAGACCTAGGAGGCAATAAAGATTAAGCTACATCATTCCTACAAATGGAGAGGCCAATTTAAGGTATTCGACTTTAAGGAGTTGCTTAAGAAGAAGAAAATTGATTTATACAATATAGACATGATTGTTATAAACTAACTATTAGATATTTGATATAACCCTGTAATAAAAACAATACTTACAAAAGCCGCTAAAGGTGATGAATCCGGCTACCATCAGCGTTGGATGTAAATTGAACTGCTTCTCGGGGATTTCATCGGCCCAGGCGTAGCCCTCTCGGTAGAAGAATATCCAGAAGATAGTAAGCGCGGAGACACCGATAAGAAGGATGCAGGCCAACGTGATAACCAGCGCGTACTCGCACCACTCACACGCGCCCCGCTCATGTTCTTCGGAATCATAAGAACGGCTACGTTGGCTGAAACAAAATTTGTATAAATAAATATTCAGCTCATAGAAAGCGTAAGATATCATGAATTGTTTATAATTATGTAGTAGGTACTTAAAAAATTGTCTCAAAGAATGTATTCGTTGGTGCCTGTGACAATGTTCGAATGTATAATTTTATTTATTAATTTTATGGAGCAAAAACACATAATACTGTCGTTCACGTCGAACTTCTAAAGACATTAAACTAAAATGTTTAAATCGTGATTCGAACGAAGTTAGATACGACCATGCCCTAATTGATAATTTTTTGAACAATTTATTTTGTACCCTCTTAATTTTATTCGAATGTACATCGTAACATGGTGAGCAAGTCACAGACCGTACAGCCTATTTATATGATTTGGTATCATCACATCATAGCGTACTCGAAGAGTTTGTTCTCAGACAATGGGTCTTAATCTCAAGGGACAGTACATATGTAAAGCTTTTACGAATAAAAGATACCATAAATTATTTTTGTACGTTTAAGAACATTATTTTCCTCGTAGCCTGAGTATTAATTTCATGTTTTTTTACGTGGTAGAGCCATGCTGCAGTTATATTAGTAGTATAGTTGTAACACGAATGGGTCGGCTCGACCGGGGAAGGACCACGCTCTCACAGAATACCAGCGTCAAATAGTAGCTTAATGCTGCTGTGTTTCGTATGGTGAGTATAGAGAACTGGAGACCCTTTTTATTGGAAACGAGGCATTCCACCTAAGTCCTCACGGATGACAACGCATCTGCATTTTGATTCGTAATTGAGGATAGATGTAGATGTCTGTGGGCCACAGCAACCACTTACCAACAGGTGGCCTGGGTGCTCGTTTGTCATAATATCCTATAAAAAATGTGTTATGTGGCATTAATTAATGGAAGCATATAATCTTTATAATAAAATTATTCTATTGTATTCTGATCTCATTGTCGTTTTTGGAGTATTAAGAATTTCGACTTCTCTCTAAGGCCGTTAATTGCCTATTACCGGCCTTAATTGGGTGAATGGTCTAAGGGCCTTAGATAAACCAAACGGCACTAACCTAAAGGCACAGAATAAATAATAGCACTACGTAGTTAAGGTAGAGCTGTGTAGCTAAAAGTAGTGGACTCGAATACAACATTGATTCCTCCTAGCACATCATTTTAATGTTATTTGGTATGGACTCAATTACTTTAATGTTTTTGTAACAGCTCTGAGTTGTCTTTATTTTTAATGACCTTAATAAATTTAAGGTTATCGTCATATAGTAGACAGTACACGGGCAAGTAAAAATAATAGAACGACGTGGGAATCCCAGAGGTTGAGGTGATTGGAGATGACGTATACCTTTTATAGCTTCCGCAAGCAAACTACAATCACAAAAAATATTTTTAGAATTTAAAGACTCCGAATGCCGTGGCCCAACCAGGAAACAATCTCTCAGAATACGGGCATATACGGAATAGCAGTATAAAGCTGCTGTGTTTCGCATGGTGAGTGATAATATCCGGAGACCCTTTTTACTGGTAAACAAAACATTTGACCTGCAGTGTCTTTGGAACGAAGCATCCACTTACTATAGGATGGAATACTTCATCGAAGGCTCCCTCATAATCTATTCATCCATTACACCGTATAAAAATCCATTGCTGAACATAGGCCTCCCCCGTAGACTGCCTCATGGGATTTTACCATAGTTGCCACGCTTCGCAGGCGGGTTGGCAACCGGAGTTTTTCATAAATTTGAGTTGTTATCAGAAAGATGCTGTTGCCCACCTCCTGGCTTGTTTCCTTTTGTTGCGTCTTACGACACCCACGGGACAATAGGAGGTAGTGGATATCGTTACATTTATTTATCGTATAACGTTTTGAGTATAATGTTTCCTTACACAACATGATACATCAAAATAAAAGAGCTAGTCGATTTGTCGTAATTTACGAACCAGAAAACCGCAGGTTAATGAAAACTCCGATATCACCACCTTTAATAAGTGAATGTAAAGTTTTATTTCAGCCAATGTAAATAATATAAGAAGTACATAAAAGCGGCGTAAGTTTATATAGCTGTGCAGTGAGCGTGTGTGGACCACACAAGGGTGTCAAGTAGCGTGAGATTATTGAGACGACTGCGCCGGATGTTCAGGAGAAGTCACGTCACGGAACGTTGGGAAAATTACTTTTTAAGTACTCTATAACATGCGTTTCATATTTTTATTTAATTATATTAAATAATATTACACAAAACTTATTGAATTAGCTTATACGAGTAACAACGCTGCAGCTTTATTACGGTACATAAATTTATAAGCTTGACCGGGGAAGGGCCACGCTCTCACGGAATACTATCGTGGAATAACTAGCTTAGTGGTGCTTTGTTTTGTATGGTGAGCGTAAAGAACCGGAGACCCTTTTTACTGGAAACGGGGCATTCCATCTTAGTCTTCAGAGGTGACAACGCATATTGCATCTTGATTATTAATTCAGGATCATCCGAAGAAGCTTTAAGGTTGTTCTGGCACTGGTTGCACGACACCAACGGTACGAAATGGTGTAATGGATTCTCACACTCCGCGACCACACGACGACACATTAGAGGCAGCTTATGTGCAAGCCGATAAAATTATATGTCGCAAAAAATAGGATACCTACATGTAGGTATAAGACTTTCTATTATATCTATTTTAGTTTAGCAATTATTATGCTTTTTTTGCAAATTCATTAGGTGTAATTATTACATTATTTAATAAAACAAGTGAAGAATAATGATTATAATACGATTCGTAAATGTCTGTATGTCATAGCTCATTCCAAAGATGGTGCGGCTTGGACAGCAAACGATGAGGGAGGGAGGGAAACTAAAATGGTGAATATAAAATGTAAGTTTTCAAAAAACTAAGCTTATGAGATTTTGCTTAAAATCGTCTTGGTAGATTAATTGGCTGAAACCAAAATGTACCAGGAATTGCGCTCATACAGTTTGAGTTTTATACGAATTTATACAGAAAATTATAAAAAATAGTGTTTCAAAAGTGGTTTGGGGAAGTGGTGAAAGTCAGCAATTATATAATTTCGAGCTACTTGACCCTCGCAACCCTATCCTACCCACTACAACATAATAACTATAAGACTTTAAAAATATAATTTTCTATGTCTATTATGTATAGGTTGAGTTTAACATGGTCTGAAAAGTAGGTACGACTTTTGACACATATTGACTCTCAGACTCACTCGCAAATCCAAAACCTAGAGAATTTCTAGGCGACTTACAAACTTGGCATTTGGCATTAAAGTAGGTACATTCGATGCATACAAGGGAAAAATTTGACATTTTCTTAAAGAAAAAACGTTGAAGGTCTTGTATTTTTTTTTTCAAAAATGAAATGATTCCTACCAAAAACAAGTGTGAAAAAGCTCCATAGCAGTTCCTTAAATTATCTTTTAAACCAATTGAGCCATGGCTGCTGTGAAGCATGATATTTGGTGAGACTTCAACCCGTTTATCAGTAAAGCTGACAGCCCCGAACGTCTTTTCTCGGCCTCTTTTTGACATATATAATTTTAGTAAGATATATTATCTACGGTCGGTTCAAACAGAATTTTACCAAATATAATTTCGCCAATAATATAACTTCATACAATTTTATTTCCAAACAAGTTTACCTAATTATATGTATGTACTCAAACAACTATAATTTGTCGCTTATTTGTTCTTGTTTTACGAAATAGATAAACAAACCGGTTCGATGTCGTTGTAGAGATAGGACACGGAGTGCATTCGAAAGTAACTCCTAATAAATATTTAAATTATTAATTTTTATCCTTCAGGTTTTGCAACATTAAATATTTTTTAAATATAAACTTTTACATATAGAGAAAAGATAAATGCAGCACGTAATGTTCATATCGACCGAGGTATATCCATGCTTATACATACAGAACTACATCGTAAAATAGCATTATACCACTAAGGTGTTATTCTGCTTGCTTCTATCTATGTGCTTTTTTGATGTGTTTCTTCTATATAGTGTATCAAAGACCCTAGTTACTGTAGATGTAGGTGTATATGGACCACTTACTAAACTGTAAAAACCGACTTCAATTATTATCATCTAATCTGATCGAATCAGTGAACACACACATACACACATACACACGCGCGCGCGCGCCCGCTCGATTATATAGTATTTAACTGAGTATTAAATATATATATCAACATTTCTCTAATGTACTTTCGACACAAATAGTTACTGAATGAGAAGGAACTGACTCCTGAAATACAGGGTAACCTAGTTTGGGAGTCAGGGCTCAATGATGTTGTATGAAATAGAAGTGTCAAATAAAGATATTTAGGTACTTATTATTATTATAATTTTTTTACAACTAATAAAAGTTTTGAATTAATCGTTTGAAAAATATTTTGTGAACAATTACTTTCCCTTTGTCCTTGAGCATGTGACACTGCGAAATGACAATGTCAAAGATGCCTTCAAAATGTTTGTTTTTATTTTTTGTAAAATATCATTCAAAATTTTTGTTTCTTTTTTTAGCGCCAAAACAACAATTTTAAGGCATTTCTAAGTGTTCTGTCACTAGGTTAGAATTCCTAAATGGAATGTCACAAAATACTAGTAAAAAAATCTCTTTTATTTTGATTTTGATCAGAACGTCAGTCAGTGTATCTCGTAAATTGCATCCCTTAAAATTTTGAACTGCACATGTCAGTAAATTTTATTCTTCTGATAATATCGGTTTTAAAATTTGATTATTATAAGATTAATTGTGATAACAAATTAAAGCTACATCAGAGTTGTTATTTCCTTTTTAAAATACATATTGTCTGACGTTTGAACATATACCTATTATTTATACCCGCACCAGCAAAAGTTTTGATGTAACGATAATTTATGGAAATGTTGTACATAGTATGAGTCAATTTGAGTAGAGATACAACAAAGTGCACGTTAAGCTCGTGATAGGTCAGTTGTGAAAATGGACAACTGATGTTAT